TTCAGTTTGTGAGGAGTATCAATCACAAAGTTACCTGCATTACTCATATATATGTCCAAAGCAATTAGATTTCTTTTAGTAAAAGTAAAACAAAATGAATACTGACCCATATACTGGGTATGCCGAATGCTCAAGGCATGCTTCAATCAGAGAGATAGATAGAAATATATTAACATATATATATATATATATAGAGAGAGAGAGAGAGAGAGAGAGAGAACTCACTCATTTTTTTAAATCCAAAGTCATGAGGAATGACAGTGTAGAATTCTCTGAAAGAGGAAATCTATCAAAAATTGGAATTCCAAAATTCTAGAAAGCTATCATTAGATCTTAAAAGCTAAAGGTACAAAAAAAGTAGGTCAGATCTGCATTGGATCTACCATGTTGTTGGAATTATGAATGAACTTAGTCAAGCATTTTGGTGAAAATATATTTTCAGGATTTAACTAATAAAATCACTTCTATCAGGGGGATGGGGGAGAGAGAGAACCCTTACCCACTTAATTGTTCAATTGTTCTCCTATTAGACCCGCCAATCACATCAGCAATCCTCTTCAGGATATTATATCCCTATATATGTTTAAAAAAATAACAAGTTATTGGTTTGTTGCATCTTTCATGGAGAAGCAGATTAAAGGAGAAGACACTTTATGTGAAACTTAAAATGTTTTGCAGCCAAATACACACAGTAGCTCTAGAGTTCCAAATTGTTTCTTTTTGTTTGGGTCAACAGTTCCAAATTGTTTCCAGTTAACTTAGACAACACAAAGTATCCTTTCCAGTTGTTCAAGATTTCTCCTTATCATATCTAGAAATCAACCAGAATACCAAGAGGTAAAAGCTTACCTTTGAAATTGTTGATTTGCTAAGCTTACCAAGAGGTAACTTATCAGCATTGTATCCTACCAAAGAAGAAGAAGAAGAAGTTGACCGAATAAGGGAACCAAAAAGCAGTTAACTAATCAGATTACTGAAAAATAAAAAACTGAAAGTGTCTAAATAAAATTCTCATTCCTGTGTTATTTAAGGTACTGAATAACTTAGATTATTATGAGTTGTAAGTTGCAAAATAATGTTTTGACAGAGAATCAGAAATCAACCAACCTATTTCCATCATATGCTGCTTCATCATGCTGATGTTGCATATAAGAGATATAAACTTTGCAATGCGAGGCTCAAGTTGTGTTTCCAGAGGTTGACCTCTTAAAGCAGAGTCATTCTTTTCTTCTACCTGATGATGATAATCAAGAATTAAGACGGAGCAAACAAGATGATTTTCTTCTCCACCCCTCCCCTTCTCCCACAGCACACAGAGGTCATCTGACACTCACCTATTGACCCCTACACATTGAGGCTATGAGAGGCAGGATTGAAATATGAAACACCTTTTTAAAATGAGAAATATTAAAATATATAACATAAATGGGAAATACAATTCAATATTGTCTTGCTACCAACAGGATCTCCTATTTCTTTATCGTCCTCAGTAATTTGCAACCAAGAATAGCTTCAGGGCATAGTGAGCATCTCCAGCATTCAGAAAATTATGTAAAAATAAGCAAAAAGTTGTGGATACTCACAGACAATTGTTTTTCCTCTTCGTTGTAATCCATTTCTATCCACATATAGTGGTGCGGGAAAGACTCGAACATTTTACGATTGGACCAATCATTCTTGGTTTTGTCATAGAATTTCTGTTTAAACTCATTGATTGCGCTGTCACGGGATGTGTAAGGGCCTTGTATCTTGTTTTGACCCTTAACACCTACTCTCCCCCATCTATAGTAAACCATGAAAGTACCACCAGCATCAGATTCTGCACGTCAATTCATAAGAAATAAAAATAAGTACACATTGCCTGAACTGGTGTAACTCGCCAATGTCATTAATCCCATAACTCATTGGAGCAGATGAAACTTCATTTATGTGAGGTGACAAAAGCATAGATAATGTTTCTGTAATCCGTTAGAATTAATCCTTGTAATCAGTATTTGTTACAAACTGAAATCAGATTCAGTCAAATTTTGTTTAACTTCATAAGTTTCATTGCTTGAACCACATATGTGCTTGATTAATCACCCCAACTGACTCTGAATGGACATGAATTCTTAGTTACGACAATCCAAACATCTAGTTGACTAACTAATTAATTTTGAAATATATATTCAGTGAAATTTGTTGAAGGGAGAAAGAGTTTTACCAAGAACTTGAATCACATAGAACTTGTTATTGTTGTAACCAACATTTGTCTGGTTCAACATGGCATCATATACATCATCACCCTACATTCAAAAAGATCATTGGTCAGTCCAAATTTGAAACGAATCAAACTGACATCAATTACCTTCCACTAAGCACGAAATGCAATTAACTCATTAAGTGGCATTATTGATAGTATATAGACTTGCCAGTTGCAAAACATGATAATGTGCCTTTATGTGATCTGGTAGCCACTGATCCAATACCGCTGCACCCTTTTTGGTTGCAGTTACGATCTTCTCCTTGCTGCCATTTCCTTCTTCATTAGCTGCCACCAGACCACAGCATAATAAAAAAGTTGCCCAGTTCTAATTGAAAAAGGAACATTTTTCAATGCAGATAAAGACTAAGACATCGATTTCTAGCCCTGGCCTACAATATTGTATTGGCAACCAATCAGAGTGTGAAAGCTCATACCTCCACCTAGAGGAATGTCATCTGAATCTTCAGAAAGCCTCTCCAGCAGTTCTTTTTTAGACCCAGTTGCCGAAATTCCACGAAGAGTGGCTTGTTCGCGCAATTGCTTTACACTCATGTCCCGAAACTCGTCGGTGGCCTTGATTTTCTCGGACCCAGTTGACTCTCCATCTTCATTTGATTGTCTTCCCCTCTTTGTACTAACAATTGAAGCTGAAACATCACTTGCATCGGTGGGTTGCATGTTTTCTTGGCGAAGAGCGGCCTCAAGCCTCTGAACCTGCAGGAACTCAAAATCAATAGTTGGTCAAAGTCTCTTCTACCTAGAGAAGAGAGAGGGAGAGAGGGGTTGTTGTCAGACTGACCAGAGTGGGTTTGTTTCCGGTGGTGGTGAGACCACGTTGGGCCAATTGATTTCGTAGCTCTTCTACTTTAAGCTTGCTTGCCATTGGAATTTGGAGAAATGCGTTTGAAACTGTAAAGAGAAGGGGAAGGAAGGGGGGAATTTTGTAGCGGGAGTGTGGAGTGTGGAATGGAGGGAGGAGTGGCTTGGCTTCTCTTTCTCTAGCGTTCGCAGCAAGCTTTTTGGCGGGCTTTTTCACATTCTCTTATGGGTTGGGCCTTTTCTGGTAATGGAAGAGGGTGTTGTGGCTTTTCTGTTTTGTGTAATGGAAATATTGTACCTTAGAAATCAATAATAAGGCCTACTTATAACATGTCCCAATTCTTTCATTAAAAATAAAGAAATGGCCCATACGAATAAGCCCTGGCTCCTTGGCTCGAGTCTTTAGCAGGATTAGTCCTCTTTGCAAGTCAACGTCATTTTTCTTTTCTTCTTTTTTTTTCATTTTTTTTTTCATACAAACAATAATCTAAATTTTTAAAATTGTTAATCTAACTTACTTATATATAAAGCAAAAGGCTGAGAATTGTGAAACATTCAAAATACCAAAAAAAGCCATTGTTTAATCCAAACACGATCCAATCCATACTTATAAAGACTTTTTTTAAGTGAGTGACTTTCATAGAGTTGATAAAAGTCACTAGTAAACTGGCAAGACTTTTGTTCTTAACAATTAGCCTTAATAGTATGGAAAAATCATTCATTTAATTTTTTTTTTAAAGTTATTAACTTTTTAGATACCACTAAACTTTTAAAGACTAAAAATCATAACGGATACTACCAAACTTTTAACTACTTTTTAAAAGTCACATTTGAATACCGCCAGACTTTTATAAACTATTTAAAAATCAAAATTGAATACTTCCAAGGTTTTAAACTATATAAAAGTCATTAAAAGTTTGGATTGGATACAACCCCCGAAGAATTGAAATCATTAAATTAAATGAGGATAGTATGGTAAATTCACACTTTTTCATATTAAATAAATTAAAAATTAAAACAAAATCAGATAATGGGTCATATTTTTATAAAACACAACTACCCATTATCTTTTTTAATGCTAAAATAAAATAGAAATTTTTAAAAAACTAATTGGCAGAGCATGTGCCAAGGGGCTAATAAAATTAGAAATGGGTAAAGTGTCGTTTTGCCCTATGAATTATAAGGCTTTTCGAACTTACCCACCTGAATTATTTTGTCTATCGATTTAGTCCTTCTATTCGTTTAAAATAGCCCATATGGGACATGTCGTTAGTTTTTTGAGAATTTCATTCACATTACTGTGGAAGCACATGCACCTCACGTGTCCATTTAGACAAAAATATGGATGAAATATCCAAAAATCTAACGATAGGTCTCATATTGACCATTTTAAATGAATATAAGAACTAAATCGGCAGACAGATAATCCAGGAGGGTAAGTTCGAATTGCCTAATAGTTCATGGGACGGCTAAAAGTCCATTAGAAATAGATAGTCCTGATCTCTTGGACCACAGGAGTCCAAGAAATTGTGGTCACCTACCGTTGGTTATTAATCCAATGGTTCAAAAAAGTTTCTTAAAAGGAGTGCAAGAGTGAGTGAACCATTGAATTTACATCCAACGGTGAGTGACCACAAATCTCTTGGACCCCTATGGTCCAAGAGATCAGGACTATAGAAATAGAATGCGAATTTTTGGTGTAAGAGAACGGGCTCACAGTGCTCTAACCCGCTTTAAGAAGATTCTTAAGATATTATACTTCTCTTATCTTTTCGGGGATCAGACTGGGATTCGAACTGGGGTTGGGAAAAGAATAAGTATTATATAAATCTCCGCACGTGCGTTTCCTCCTGATTTCATCTTCTTCCCGCTTCAGATGATATGATACCGATACTATTCTCTTCTCTTTACGTTTCAGTATAACTTGGCTAATGCCATGGCCATGGACTCGATTCTAAACTCGTCCTTGGAAGAAATCTGTTTGGAAGGCCGAAACGGTCTCCCTCTCATATCCCTCTGTTCCAGGCTCCAGCCCTCTCTTTCCTCCTTCAATCTCGACGTCTCTGATCGGGGCCTCAAGCAAGCCTTATGGGCGGGGCTTCGCTCTGTCCCCACCCTCAAATTCCAGAGCCAGAATCAGAAGGTCCAGTACAGCCCAACCGACCCTTTGATCCAGTCCGTCCAAGACGCCGAGAAGCTCAACCTGAAGCTGGTAGCCGACCAGCGGCTCATGAACAACTTCTTGGGCCTCTACATTGCCCACTCTTCCATTGACAACATGTGCCAGTATCAACGCCAAACACTCGAAAGAGTTGCCGGTGCTAGGTACCAGCTTTTCCTTGTTTCATATTCAAAATCCAATACTCTGCATAAGTTTATAATTCAATCTTCATTGGTGTAGTTTTGAGTTGAATTTGATTTGTTTTTGCCTGATGATTGTAAGTCTCATTTTAACGAATCTTCATTGGAATTTTTCTTTCTTTGTTCGATACAAGTTTGGTTTTTCTAATGAATATGAAAATATGTAAAATTGGTAATTTGTTTATGTTGTTTGCAGTTTCTTAATATAAGAAGTTAGTTGATTGCAGTGTGAGCCGAGAAACCTTACTAGTCAAGCTAGAACTTTCTTATATTGACATGATAGGAATCTGTTGTTAGACTAACCTCTCCCTCTCTCTCTCTTAGACTTATACTTTTGGAGTGCCGTTGAGATAATGATTTTGTAGGTTGACTAATGATTTACTATCAAATTGGGTGCTTTTAGAACGGATGGAATTACACAAAGTCAACTTTCTAAGGAACTTGGCATTCAAGGTGAAAACTACTATTACAAAGTGAGGAACCTTGAATGTCAAGGTTTAATTGTGAAGCGACCTGCACTGGAGAGGAAAAAGAATGCTGGTGATGAAGGGCAATCAAGCAACAATTTGAGTGTGACTACTAATGTAATATACTTATATCGCTACGCAGCGAATTTAAGCTCTCAACAAAAAATTGAGATTACCAAGGTAGAACAGACTAAGGAGAGTTTTGGGAATGCAAAAGAAATTCCTGCAGGTGGAGATGGTTTTTCTGGAAAAGGGGTTAAAAAGGATGTGCTTGTGAAGAAGGACTATTTAATATCAGCAATGAAGGCAGTCTGTGATAAACTTGAACAAGCCAATGGGAAGGTTACATTTCGTTAAAGTTTTGATAGATCTATCAAGTTAGTTCCTTTTACAGTTTATATTGAATTTGTTTATGTTATTTTTTTGTTAAAGGTTCTTGTTTCGGATATCAAGAAGGATCTAGGTTACAGCGGAACTCGTTCCGGGAATAGAGCTTGGAGGAAGGTAAAATTTAATTAAATATGTATTTGTTCTTAATCTCTGTATTAGCAATTTGATAAGTTATACTGATTTTTTTCATTGTATTGTTCCCTGCATATTCTTCTTCCAGATTTGTGGCAAATTGGAAGCTGCTCATATTGTGAAAAAGTTTGAAGTTCAAGTGAATAAGAAGGTTTCCTGATAATCTTTTTAAGCAAACATCGTTTCTCTTGATTCCATGCTCAATATTGTGTTTCTTTATTCTTTTTATTTATTTAACATTCTCCTAGATACAAATTTGCAGTCCTTTTTTATAATATGATTTTTCCTTGCTTTAGGTGAGTATTGCTTTCAGTTCCAATATTTGTTTCTGTTTACTGCAAAAGTTAGTTAGGGTCATAATTTAAATTCATGATAAATTTGAATGACAGTTCAATTGCTTGTTATGCTCTTAATTTTTCCTTGTTTGTTATAAATTATAATCAAGTTCTAAGTGGTACAAGGACCTTTCGTGTTAGTTTGTTGGTCATGACTTGATATCCCTTTTGCATTTTGGACAGGTTGAGCAATTCCTGGGTTTGCTGAAAAAGTTTTGTCCATTGAGTTTTGATCCAAAAAATCCTGGCAAGGTATTGCTTAGGACTGGTTTTCCTCTTTCTTTGATGTGCTATATTGTTTTCTTTAATAGCATAGGATGGACTACTGGTAGTCTTCATTGTTTTGTGCTCTTACTTTTTCTTTTTTCAATCAAATTAAAGGGAAAAAAATTGTTTGGCAGGTGAAATTCATAAAGAAATTTCAAACCACTGATCTGCTTGTAGAACTTCCAATTGAGCATCAAATTCAGGAATTGATTAATGCTGCAGGCTCAGAGGGCATCATTATGTCTAATGTGAGTGCATTAATTTCTTGAGCAGCTATGTTTTATTTAAAGTGATGAATGTTAAAAAGATTTTGTAGTTTGATGTTATTGTTGGTGTTAGCCAGTGAAATCCTTTGTTACTATTTATTCTGGTAATTATTTTAGCGTTGCTTGGTTAGAGCTTGCTTTGTGTGGTAAAATTCCTGCCATTGAGTTAAAGTTGCATTTCACCTATAAATTCCTTGAATATTTATTTATTTATTTGCTATTTACAGGTTTCGAAGAGGCTTGGAATTGGCAGGAAAGAGAGTGATAAGCTGATTGAAAGTATGTGCTCTAGGTTTGGGATGATTAAGAAGAAAGAAAAAAACAAAAAAATCCAAGAATATCGGGTTTGGGCACCGGGGAAATGCAACTCTGAATCAGCCAATGCATTCCTTAATAAATCAGAAAATCTTAATCAAAATCAAACTCTTTCCACATGTGACTCTTCAACTTTGACAGGTGATACTGCTAAACCTGGGAATATGAAAATTGGAGATATTAGTGCTGACCGTTCTAGTGATCTCCACTTTTTGATGAATCTAACCATATGCATCTCTGTCCCGGATTACAGAAACGGAAACAAATGACGCCTCATCAGAAAGACCACCTGCTGTGTTAAAGCCATGTAGACCATGTCTGTCTTTGACAGTGGATGGTTCCATAAGGGAAGAAAGGATACTTGAACAGTTACAGGTTTTTGTTCTAATCCATTGCCTTGAGGATTTCCTGGTCATCTTATTATCCCCATTTTCTGTATGTTTGCTTCATGGCTTGTTCATTATTTAGTACAAATAGTGTATAATGGCAATTAAAACCATATTTTAAATTACACTACTCACTTCACTGAATTAGAGTTACTCATGCAATATATTTAAACCTTCTGATCAATGCATGTTTTCCCCTGTATTACCACTTTCTGGTGCTTCATGCGTGTTATGATAAGTGCCAACACCTTAATGGATTCAGGATAAAGGGGATGGAGTTCAATCTCAAAAAAGTAAACATGCTTCCCTGAAAAGGAAGAGAACTTCTGAAGCAAGGTCAGTAGAGTTCACAGAAGTTGACGAGGTAACTAGACGGTTGAAAGAGCAGAGACTTGCTACATTACCTGTTACTGAGAAACAATTAATGGAAGAACGAAATCTCTTGGTCACTTCTGGCGAGCATGACTCACATTTGCATGCATTCCAGAGGGATGGTGATCAAGAAATTGAGCAGGAACCTGAACCAAATGAATATGGTGAGGGGTGTTATTCAATCTTAAGCAAGTGTGCTTTTTCAAAGTTGAAGCCGACACGACAAAGCAGGTTTTCATGGACTGAGGAGGCTGACAGGTACGGGAAGAAGATATGTAAATTACCCTAGAGCCGTAAGTATAATCTCATTAAAGCTATCCGTATGGGCAATAAGGTATCTAATATGTAACATGTCATTGTTGACCATGAGAACAATCTGATATCTGATAACATGTCATGGTTGCTTCTATCACATATTAGACGTTAACAGTCAATAGTATATTAAAAGCATCAGCCAAGGAATTATAGGATCTTCCAATTACATTTTTTTTTTTTCTGTTTGTGTATGCTGATGCTAGCACATCAGTGTTCTTGACTTAAGAGACTGAATGATGGTCGTACAAAAAAACAAAATTTTCATTGGAAAGATGACAGTATTATAATGGTAACAAATTTTTTCCAACGACTGCGTGAGTGGGAGATTTCAGAATTTTCCCTTCCATTTAATACATTGGTTATTTCTCTTTTTTGTATCTGATGAAAGATAGGATTCCTTTTATTCTTTCCATGTAATAATTTGTTTTACCATTTGCATTTCACTTATATTGATATCATTCCTTTAGGCAATTGGTTATCCAATATGCAAGACGCTGTGCAACTCTTGGGGCAAAATATCATCACCAGATAAGTTGGGCTTCACTTCCTGACCTTCCAGCACCTCCTAGTACCTGCAAAAGAAGAATGTCATATCTGAAGAATAGTAATGGAAAACTTAGAAAATCTCTAATGATGCTCTGTAACATGCTCAGTAAGCGATATGCAAAGCTCCTGGAAAAAACCAAGAACAGGTCACTAAACAAAGATGAGTGCAGAAAACTTTTGCAAGGTTCAACAGGAGAAGACTATAACATGAATTTTCCCAACATCAGTGGCCATAATCAAGGGAGGAGTCTTCAGGAAGAACCATGGGATGATTTTGATGACAATGATATTAAAAAATCCCTGGATGAGATACTTCACTACCAGAGGATGACTAGATTGGATGCCACCAAAAGATATGGATCTACCTGTGAGGAGGGGTCAGATCTTAATACAAATGCTGAAGAAGATGTAATTACCGAATCCCTACAACTTAAATTTTACAAGTATTTAACAGCTCGTCAAATGTGCTATATACTTGATTAATTCAACATATAGCCTAGTAAACCTACCTCTCTCTCTCTCTCTCTCTCTTGATATTACCAGTTATTTGTGTTTGTGTACACTGAAGTCCATCTGCACCTGTATTGTAATGATTTGAGTACTTTCTTCCCTTATTTTCCTAGTATATGCCAATATCTGGCTCATCTAGTTTTTACTGAAATACTTTTTCACTTGCAGGACCCCAAGGAATCTGAATTAATTGTATCAACTGTTCCATATGAGGATATTCAGAATCATAGTAGAGGCGTTTCTGCACAAAGACCAAGTTGTCAACAACTTCATAACAACTTCTTTAAACTTTTGCATGAAGGAGTTGTTAGTACACCAGCGTACAAATCTTTGGCTGTAGAGCTGTTTAAGCTTGTCGTCTTGAATACCACAACAGCACCAGCAGAACAAAACCTGGTTGCAGAAATTCGACGGCGTTACTCAAAGTGTGATCTTTATGCAGCTCTGAACTACCTAAGAGATAACAAAATTTTGGTAAATCTTAGTTTCTGTTGATTATTGGATTGAACATTCATTCTTTGCATTGCTTGAATTGACGTCCAAGCTTAGTCCAACGAGATTTTTATTCACTTCTCCTTAATAGCTTAATATACATTGTTTGTCTTAATGTCCCTCATATAATTCTGCTCATCTAATTTTTAAGTTGTATATATTTCATTCCTGATTAAATTTTATTTGGCAGATTGGGGGTACTGACAGTCAACCTTTATCTCTCTCGCCTCAGTTTTTTCCTAATATTTTCAAGTCACCATTTCCAATTGATTCTGGAAAGAGAGCTGCCAAACTTTCTCGTTGGCTCCATGAAAGGGATAAAGATCTTATGGAAGGGGGGATTGATCTCTCTGCAGATTTAGAATGTGGGGACTTATTTCATTTGTTTGCTCTAGTTTCTTCAGGTCAGCTATCAATTTCCCCATGCTTGCCTGATGAAGGAGTGGGAGAGGCTGAAGATTTGAGAAGCTCAAAACGCAAAATTGAAAGCAATGAATATTTGAACACTAAAAAACTAAAATCCTTGGTATCCGAAAGTGAAATGATTTCCCGTCGAGAGAAAGGTTTCCCAGGTATCATGGTATCTGTATATCGTGCAGAATCTTCTGCATCCAATTGTGTAGATTTTTTCAAAGATGATGACACTTCAAGTGGTGAAAAACATTTTGGTGGAAATGATCGACTAGACAGCACTTCAGTGATCCCCCATGCAGGAGATTGTGATTCTGGTGGTGCTCATTCACAGAGGGAAACAAATATGAATGTTAATGATGTGCATAAAGTGACCATTCTTAGTTCCCCTGAAAAGGTCGCTGAGCGCTCGTATGAAAAACAAACTTGCAGTGTGCCTGAAGGTTGCATGGAAGTTGTTTCAGCTAGAGGACATGGTGACAACGAATCTTCTAAATTCACTTGTGGTAAATTATGTGTGCCAATACTGCCATGGATAAACGGTGATGGGACCACTAACAAGATTATCTACAAGGGACTCAGACGGCATCTTCTTGGGACTGTGATGCAAAATCCAGGGATATTAGAGGTACTTGCACTCTGAGTTTATGTAAATTCTATTTGTATGGCTAGAAAAAAAACATTGTTTTGCTACTTCATGTCCCCTCTGCCTTCTATAAATCAACTGTTACATAAGCGTAAAGCTCCAAAGTTTAAGTAACTAGCAGTGTCATTAAATCAAGAAGTTATCAATCTCATGATTATTGTGCTGAAACAAATAGCTTTAACTGCAAAGTTTCTACACAGATACTGTAATGTTTCTTACCTAATTTTGTCATCGTTTCCTGTTTTAGGATGAAATTATGGGGAAGATGGATGTACTGAATGCGCAGGTATTCTGATCCACGATCTCTTGCATGACTGAGTTTATCTTCTCATATATTACGTCTGCTCTTCCTTTTTGATTCGGTAATGCTAATGCTAACTTCTACATTTCTTACAGACTTGCAGAAAATTGTTGGAGTTGATGGTTCTGGACAAGCATGTTCTTGTGAGGAAGATGCGTCAAAATGTATACAGTGGCCTCCCGGCAATTCTAAGGACCCTTCCTGAAAGCAGTTTCCCCCCACAAAAATTGGTTTTCCGTGAGCATTTCTTTGCAAATTCCATGAGCTCGTCCTTGCTCTAGAGACGTTCTAGCTTTGTTGGAGAATAGAATTATACCGTATGGATGGGCCATTGATAATCAACCACCACCAACAATGGGCACCCATTGCTTTTTATCCATTGTTATTTATTGTAATTCTAATCAATCTTGGTGTTGTGAAAATTTCATTCCATGAACAAGTTGAAGCAAAGACAGAATGCAATGCCTTCTGTTCTCATTGAAAGATAAATATTCAACAAATCAAACTTCAAATTAAAATAAAATAAAAATTTGTGATTCAAAGCTTAATGCGCAAGACTGAGAGGCTTCTTGGAATACCACAAACAAACAAATTAAGCTTGCTTTCAGATACAATTACGACTTACAGTGACACAGAACATCATCCTTGGTCACCGGAAAATCGGTGAAAATGAAAATTTGACTTGGTAATTCTTTTTCTCATTTCTAATATATCCTGACAACAATAATACATTGAAACATCATATCTCACTAGATTAACGACATTCTAGTTACGGACCCATGACTACAAGTTATATAAATAGCAAAGACCTAAATCCCGTTGTCTATTTTTTGGCGTAGGTAATCAACATTGAATTCTGAGGTGTCATCTTAAAACCTTGCAGTGCCTGCATTGCTACTGTAGATTGCATCTCATCTCCAAACTCCACAAAAGCAATACCTGGCTTCGTTTCCACCATTCTAACCTCCTTAAAACCAGGGTACTGGCAGAAGAGCATTTGCAACATCATGGGAGTTGTATCCTGAGGAAGATTCTGAACAAAAAGTATGTTGTTTGGCGGAGCAGGAGCCTCAGGTAACTTCACACCACCGGGATACGGTATTTGGGAGAGCTGCACCAGGTTGGGGGAGAGAAAGAGAGAAGTTAAAGATTTCATAAGAGCATACTATTTAAGCTTATACATGTTTACAAAAGGAAAAAGTTTCATCAATTTAAATTCAAGGGAAAGGGCAGAGCTGCAGATTATAAACTTTTCTGAAGAGATGGCAAAGTGCAACTTGTAACAGGTAGATCACTTGATTAAATGATTCCATAACTAGTGTTTTTTAAATGTCTTATCAAATATACCAGTTTCAGTGAACCAAAACAAACTTGTAATAGATAAAATACTTCTGTGACGAAATTTCCAATCACAGCAATAAACCAAAAATACTTGTATCCATGTACTTCATAGCAATTTACTACCTTCATGCACCTATCTAATTAGTTTATGTTTCACAAAACGTGCAAATTACCAACTCTTATAAACCACAGGCAGTTTTTCCACTAAGTATACTTCTCAAAGAGTTAAAATTGTTTCAGTTCTAAAATACCAAACAAGGAACACAAGAGATATGATCAAATATCCCTCATGAAACAGAGAAGATACTTACAGGAGGTGCTGCACCATACGCACCAGCGTAAGCAGGATTCAGACCCATTCCGGCTTGGCTAGCATCATGTTGCTCTTTTCGCTTTTTCCCTGCCACATAACGAACAGAAAAACAAACTTTAAGATCATAAAAGCCCATATATACGCCATACAGTAATATAACATATGTTTTTTTTCCAAACAATATATCTTATTGTCATACAGTTTATATAAACGAGAAAGAACAATGTACAAGATATGGGAATTGCAAAATAGGATGAGTAGAATGTCTTACCCTTGTCTTCATGCCTCTTTCGTCTTTCACGTGGAACAAAAGTACCATCAGCCTTTGCTATTACATCTGATTTTGTCTTGGCATATTGTATTCTCTGTGTTAATCACATACCAGTAAAATAAGTTTAAAACAAAAAACAAAAAAACAAAATCATATACATGGAAAAAGTTATGGTAAACACAACTACTTATATCTAACATGCTTGTGTGTGTGTGCGCACACATGTCACTGAGCAAGTCAGATATCCTCTTGACGGCATGACATGCAGAAATCCTTTTTCACCAACACTAAACAGATTTATAGACAATACACCATAGAAACATCATATGAATGGAAAAGAAAATCTGACCTAACTCTAACCCCTACGCCCAAACCCAACCACATTGTCCTAGAGATGGGCAATGGGTACTCAATGCCCAATGAGTACCCATTTTAGCATGTAATTCTTGTTTAATACTACGGACATCGAGAATGACTATAACCAGTGCTGGATCCTGTCTTTGTTGCCAAGCTAAATCCTTTTCTGCCATTATAATTAGTCTTCTTACATACCCGTCTCATGCATTGTGCTAAGAATAAAAATGGCATTTTAAAGGACTAAAGAAAAGCAAACAAATATTAAATTTTCAAATGGCGCTTATATAACCAAATTCCTTGGGTCAAAACCTAAAGCCTCACAACAACTGACGGGTGACCAATACTAATAGTGTGTGAGAAAGGCTAACAAAACGAAAATCCATGGCTTCCTTTGAATAATTGAATTGTAGCTAAAAATCACATTAAAGTATCTTGCTTTGAGTGAGAAAGACAATATAGACATAGATAGAGAAGTAAAAAAAAAAAAAAAAAACAACATATAAGATTAGATTAGGTTAGTTTAGCATACCATAGGCTTGTCATAAAAGGGGAAGCCTTGCATTTGTTGAATGGCTTTGGTGGCGGAAGAGACGTCCTCGAAGACAAGCCAAGCTTGGCCTTTGTGCTTGAGCGTCTTGAAAGCTAAGACGTCCAGTATCTTCCCGAACTGCGAGAAGACCGCGAGAAGCGACTTTTTCAATTCATCGAGCTTGATTTTCTCGTTCAGATTGTTGATGTAGATGGTCTGGTTCGCCGGAACTTCGCTGCCGCTATTGTTCTCTCCCATGTCTCCGCCCACCCGATTTTGGAGCTTTGAAGGTACAAAGGAGACGAACGAGGAGTTTAGCTGAGTGTCTCTCCGACTGGCGTGCTCCAAATCAAGGCACTAACCACGGACTCGGAGTACCAGGCCTTCCTTTTTCCCAAAGCTTTAGCTGCTTCACTGTCAAAATCGGGAAGCCAAAAAAGCCCTAACTACACCGACGGGATATTCTATTCTATTGTACTCTAATTTACGTTTGGGCAGGTCTATGGGCCTCAGCTACTAACTTCGAATCCCGAATTGGGGTCCATCAGCTCAATCTCAGGCCCAAGGTTCAAAGGGGG